TACTTATACTAATACTTATACTAATACTTATACTAATACTTATACTAATACTTATACTACTGGTGGACCGATTACATAAGCGCTCCGGTTAATTCGAGCCCTCGCTAACAAAACAAAAAAAAACATGGAAAAATTTGACCACCGAAAAAAATGATCAAAATGATTTAAAGATAATTTAATCGATCGTGTAATCCAATTCTTCTACTTCTTTTTCTTCTTTACTATTCAATTAATCTACAATGTCCTGGCAAGCATACACCGACAACTTAGTTGCTACTGGAAAAATTGACAAAGCAGCATTATACTCTGGAGCAGGAGACTCGTTATGGGCTCAAAGTTCTAATTTCCAATTAGGACAGGACGAAATTAGTGCCATTGCCAAAGGTTATAGTGATCCATCCAATTTACAAGCTCACGGGTTACACGTTCAAGGTCAGAAATACTTTTTGTTGAGAGCTGATGAAAGATCTATCTACGGTAAACAAGATGCTGAAGGAATTGTTGCTGTTAAGACCAAACAAGCCATTTTAATTGCCCATTACCCTGCTGGGGTTGTTGCTGGTGAAGCCACCACTGTTGTTGAAAAATTGGCTGACTATTTGATTAGTGTTAATTATTAGATCTGGCTATACAGACCCGGGAGAGCTGATATTGATTATTTGGCTTCTCCGTAATAAAGTTTTAATATAAGGTTAATGATCCGACTTGTTGGTCAATTATATCACTGTAGTCCCCAGAATCTTTGTGTTTGGCCAATTGAGCCTGGCAATGGCTGGAATTGTCAGTTTTCCATTGATCCAATGGGTTAAGTTGACAACTGTAATTGTGTTCGGGATCAATGTATAAACCTCCGTACATTTCAAAAGAAAAAAAAAATTTGGTGTCGATTGTTGTTGCACCCGTACATTCTGTAAAAACACATCCGTACACCACAAAAATAATTATCACGTGATGCTCTGAGTTTCCGCACGACCTCCCCGGCCGGGTTATTTTCAAACGTTGTTAATTGGCCAATAAATTTTCAAGGGAAAAATCAAACTATTCGATTGAAAAAAATCATATTAACCCCAAGTTTTCTTAACAAGGTTTGATCATTTCAGTTAATAGTCATGTTTGTTAGATCCACTCGTTGTTTAAAACAACAAGGCCAAATAGTCAGTAAAAGATTCAACCACCACGAAGCTTCCCACCATGCATCTACTTCTACCAGTGAGGTTAATATACCAAAAGCCATTGGAGGTTTTGTTTTAGCTGGTATTACCTTATTTTTCTATAGATCACAACAAGAAGAACCTATTATCAAGACTCCATTATATAAACAAAGTGATGATCGTGAAATTTTAAGAAATGAAAATTATTTAAGGCGTTATAAAACTTCGTTTATTAAAACTTTCATTAAAGATAAAGGGGGTATAGGTTCAAGACAATTAAATAGAGAAAAGTTGGGTGGTATTCCAACCACTTTGATTCAGTCTCCTTCTGCTTTTGTTCAAGAATTTGGTGCTGGTATTAAAACCGATAAATTGGGTCCTAGAAGAGAACGTCCTGTTTATTTTGCTCCTTTGAAATAATCATCCACTAGAAATCAATGTACATTATAAGCTTCAATAAGTATTTATTTATTCCATCATTTTTCTTTATTGGTTTTCCATTTTACCTTCTTTGAAGGTATGCCGTCATTTTCTATTCTCCAAGTTGTCTTTACTTTCATTTTATTTATTCATTAATGCACTCATAGTTTACATGTTAGTAGGTACTGTAGATGATCTTATGCTGGCTAGACTAATTATACTAATTATACTGGTTATACTAGATACTCTAGATATACATATTGGTGGTCGGTGCTCACGTGACCGGCGTTCGCTATTTAAAGCGACGATTTAATCTAATCCCGCCAGCTACTCCATCTTCTTTACAATTACAATGGCATTCGAATGGGAAGTTGTTGTTTACGATAAACCAGGGACTGACAGAACCCCGGTCAGAGCAGACCACGTTAAAAACATTCCTGCGGCAGTCAATGCCGGTATTTTAACCTCTGCTGGTGCAATTTATACCGATGAAACCAAATCCAAATTTGCCGGAAGTGCTTTACATGTAATTGCTGACACCAAGCAAGAAGTCATTGATTTCTTGAAAACCGACGTTTATGCTAAAGCAGGCATTTGGGATCTTGATAATGTTATTGCTTTCCCTCTTGGTTTAGCTGTCAGATTACCTAAAAAAATGGATGGTGTCACTGTGGGTTTTGATCATTAACTATCCAGATTATAATTCTTATTAATATATGATTTATTATTCAATTGTAGTTTATTTGTACAACTAACTTTTGCGGAAAAGATACTACTCTTTCAACAATGTTGTTAATCATTTCGATCCTCCTATACCTCTCCAGTGTATCTCAATCACTATTCTTACCAAATAAACCCAATGTGTCTTCGTATTCTGGCTTTAAAGTCGAATGTCAGGTTTCCCTAAGTAACTTCCCGTCCAATGAATTTCATCTACTTTATTATCTAGATAATAAGTTGATCTGGGATAAACCCTTGAATGACTCTACAATCCCCTGGACTAAGCCCATTCGTTTAAATGACATCCCTGGGAAAACCACTAGTTTGGTTCTAGCAAGAAGAAAATCTTTTGCATTGAGAAAATATCCAATATACTTCCCTGACTCTTTGATAGGAGCAATCTTCGACGGAATGACTAATACTACACTTAGTCCCTTGGTTGCAGATGATCTTATCTCAAATTACTACATTCAAGTGAGTCGATCTCTAGGTATTATCTTACATTTACCAATTCTTCTCACTCCCAATACTGACTCAACAAAGTTCAATTTCTTGCAGGAATTGACAGATTGGGACAAGCACTTGAAGATAAACGAGGACTACAAGTACTACTACAACTCCAAGTATTCTGTCCGAAAGTCTTTAGACTTCTTCATAAATAACTTAAATAATATAAAGTATGTTAAAAAGTTCATCAACCTAAACAAAAATCTCAGTGGTGATTTTGTTCTCATCAAACTCTTCTTACTAGGCAAACATTCAAAAGCCCAGTTCGGGAAAGCCTTAGCTAACTATGATAGTCTAATGCAATACAATTGAGTTTGTGGGTGTTGTTATTAACCTTGTATTTGTGGGTATTATCGAAGAAGAATTGCAAAATTGCAAAAAAAATGGGGTTTTTTCGCAACTAAACTAATTCTCCCTTTAAAACTTCTTTATCAAACAACAACTTGCTGACCATGCCTTCTTCATCTGCTTACGTGACTACTGGATTTGTCGACTCGGATGAAATCACCGAGTTGCCAGCACAACAAATGTTGGCCAGTATGTCAAATCGTCCGGCTTTGGCTGCGCTTAATGGATTGATTTCTTCGTTTCCAGTTGCCAAAATCTTCACTTCAAACTCTGTGCCAATCATGGTTTACAGACAACAGAAACAAGATAATTAAAAAGTTTATATTTAGCTCAGTTATATAGGGAATATATTAGTAGCATTACATTAATTCATTTCTGTATTCTGCCCGTTCATTATTTTTCAATTGGTCCAACATTTCAAAAAACTCTTCGTCATCCTCAAAATCAGAAAGATCGTGAATTAGGTCAGCGTCTTGCACAGACTTACCCGAATGGAAATCCACCTCCTGCTTGACTTCCTGTTTGACTTTCACCGGTGACCGTTTTGGTTCGGCACTGTTATTAAGTGAGGTCGATGCACTCGTGATATCTGCCGTTAGCCATTGGAAGTGCCTTGAAGTTCGAGGTAACACCCGCTCGCTACATCTAGGCCGATACTGCATTAGCGACTCAACTAGCTTTGTTGAATTCGAAGACAGCTTCAGTACGTTCAATTGAGTCTGGGGCTTTGTAAGCCCTACTCTTCTTCGTCTTAGAGTGTTGTTCCCCGATAGTGGCAAAAGAGCTTTGGCAGCAGGCAGTTTCGTCACTCGGGCAACACTAATCTTCTCTTGAGGTACCACTATACTGGACTTGGTATGGTTCTTGAAAACTTTTGAGACATCTCGTTTATAACTCGACTTATACTCATTTATTTCCACCACCATTTGCCTATTGGGTAGCTTGAACTCGTTTCCTTCTTGGAAAACGTCTTTTATGGGATTGCCTCGATTCTTGGGGTAGAAATCAGTACTTATCAAGTTTAGATCTTCGTTATATATTTCCAACTTATCATTAAATTCATAATATTTCAACGTCCCATCGCTCCATTTCTTGTCCTTTTGAAACACCCTTGTCGAATAAAGCACCGAGTATTCATGCACTATAGACTCACTTGGATCCATTATTGGCTGAATCGCCCAACCTCCGCTTTAACAATCCTTGAACTGGTGTACTTGGAGTCGGGACTAAATCGGAATTGAAAAATCATTTAAAAAAAAAAAATCCTTACCTTCAGTTGAAAAAGGCTGCACGCGATTTACAGCAATTTTTGGCCCCAAACCTATAAAAGTCAGCCTTGTCTGTTTCTTCATTAAATTGAGTTATTAAAAGTATAGTTGGACATGGGTTTGTTAAGAAAGCTTACGGTTGTTGGTGTCCCCATTGCCGGGTACCTTATTGTTGATCAGCAATTGAGTCAAATATATCCAAACATCCCGGTTGAAAAATTACCCCTGAATACTTCAATTAAAAAGTATTTAAAACCAAATGAAAATAAGTATATAGCTTACTGTGATACTTTCAAGAAAACCGTCGAGGCCGATTCGATCGACAAGTTGAATGAACAATTTTTGTCGTATCGTGCTCTTCAGTCCTTAGTGAAAGAGAATGCAGATGTTGATGATAATTCGACCTGGCAATCTCAGACTATTACCCAATCAACTGGTTGGAGAGGTAAGTATAGGGATACGTTACTTTGGTGGCAATGGAATAATAAGAAGAACGTTGTATCTAATTTCGAGAAGTTGGCTAGCTGGGGGTATCCTTGGAGAATGATGAATGGTGGCTACCATGAGCTTTACATTGAACCAACTGATAAGGACAAGACGTTTGATGTATACTTCACTTGTGCTCATGAATATAACGATTTGAAAGACGGCAAGGTCATTCCTGAATGGGTACAGAATCTTCATAGATTCTACGGGAGAATGATTTTACATTTAGCCACCAAATAAATAATATGAATGTTTTATTATTAAAATCTATATACAAGAAATATGAGCTATTAATAGGATGAGATATTTCTAACTTTATCAGTGAATGGGAAACCAAATGCGCTAATAAGGGTTTTAGCTTGTTCGTCAGTTCTAGCTGTAGTTTTAATTGTTACATTAAACCCAAATAAATTTGGATATAATTCTTGGAAATTTTCAATTTCTGGGAAGAATTTAACATCATCAGGAGTCAATCCAAATGAGACATTACCAGTTGAATCACCAGATGTATTCATTAAACCTTCGAAATTTTTCATTCTTGGTAAAACCAACTCAGTTAGAGTACTTAAAAATTGAGTCATATCTCTACCAGTTAATTCAACTTTACACCCACAGACTTTCCCCTTTCTAACCTTCCATTGTATAACATTGGACTTACTATAAGTAACTTTTGGCTTGACATTAGTGATTTGGGCAATTTGTAATCTATTGGAGATATTTATCCAGTCTTCTTCCAATGCAGCTTTATTATAAGCATTGATAGTGACTCCACTGATCTCGGGTATATTGCTTGATTTGATTGGATGGATGTCTCTGGTTTGACGACCTAACCCCTTTTGTTTTCTTAACCCACGATATAATTTATATGGAGAATCAACCCCCCAAGATCTTTTCTTATTACCTTCAATGGTTTTGGCTCCATGTTCGTAAAAATTCAACATAAGATTTGGTTTCACAACATTCTCATAGTACTCCTGCACTCTATCTTGACATATTTCGGTAGGCTTGTATCCAACTGATTCAATATCGTCTTTTGGAAGTAAATGAAACTGATACTTTGGCTTTAAAGCAGCTTTATTGATCTTGACTAAATGATGCACCGGCTCGACTGATGAGTATCCGGCTCTTCCAAGTGGACTATTACTGGAAAAACAACGTATAAACTGCTTACCAAACATATTCTTTCCTGTGAAAGGTTCCTTTATCAAACGGTTCTGCTATCAAACTGGTATTAATCAAGTATTGGCAGTCTGGTAATGGAAAAAAATGAAAAAAATGAAAATTTTCAAAATAAAAGACCCAATGCCACAGACTGTCAAAAAGTTGAAAAAAAAAAGTGTTACCCGTCCACGACCCATTTTTTCTTTTATTTTAAAAACAGCCATCTTTAGCAGGGCCTTTGGGAAGATCATTGGGTACAATTAGGAGATTTACAACTGCTGAAAGATGAGGCTAGGATTGCCTGAAGATTACGTAGTTGGATACCCTTCACAGGTGGCGAAAAATGCCTATGCTTCGGTCGAAATTGCTAAAGAAGAATCAAGAATACTTGATACCACCGTTACTACCCAAACTTTGCTAAAGTTTGTAAACCGAAAGACCGATAAAGACCCTACCACTGCTTCAAGAATGGAGATTGAAGAGTTTAATAATGCATTACAAACGTTTACTGAAAGTTTCCATAAAAAAATTCAGTTACAGACAAAGCAAGATGAGGATAGGTTTGAATCTCAATATACATATAAGAAGAAATCCGTGGCATCAGAAATGAATACTTTGGATAGCTTATTCAATCGAGCATTATCAGTTAACTCGAGTGATGTCAACAGGGTGATTAGAGATATCGAAGAACGTAGGAGAAGAGAAGAAGAAGAACGGAGAAGAAAGGAAGAGGAGGAAAAAAGGAGAATAGAAGAAGAAAAGAGGAAAATAGAAGAATTGAAAAGAAAACAAAAGGAGGAAGAAGAGCGTAAGAGGAAAGAGGCAGAAGAGAAAAAACGCTTGGAACAGGAGAAGTTGAAGAAGCAAAAGGAAGAAGAAGAACGTAAAAAGCAAGAGAAAATAGAAAGTGAAAAGAGATTAGCAGAAGAAGAGAAACTTGAACTAGAAAGAATTAAAAAGGAAGAAGCAAAGAAAGCAAAAGGGTTCACTAGTGTTGCAGCCGTAGAAGAAATATTTTTAAAATACAAGAAGGATATTGTTGAGATAAAAGAACAAATTGTTGGTCAATTGAACCAAAATAAAGAACTAAAGAAAGAGTTTGGCCAATTTAAACGTAAAATCAATCCAAAATTCGGCCAACTATCTAATTCAATGGCTCAGCTTGATAGAATCACTCGAGAAGTTTTAGAATACATTAGTTTTGCAAAAAATGCTAATGATCTCATCTATAATTGTATTTTAAATTTTGTTGCAAAATCAATTGTGTCCCAAGCAGAAGCAGAAGTCACCGTCAAACCGAATGCTGCAATTCCATTAGCAAGATTAACCGAAAGAATATTGGCTACATTCCCCGAATTCGAGTACTTTCTCTCATGTAGACTAGTTAAAAAATGTCCTTTTATAATAGGTTATACTTGTTCCATTGAATCTGAAGAAGGTCGTACACGTATGGGTTGGAAAAGATCTAATGAAAAGTGGGAACTAGAAGGGAAATACGAAGAAAGAGTAGCAGGTATTTGCACTCTTTGGGCAGTCATAACTAGAACTGCCGATCATCTCAACCTCGAGATTCTCTCCATGAAAAGTGCCTGGGTGTTTTTGGCAAGATTACTAAACACTAATCCAAAATTAATAAGTAATCCTCATTTTTCAGTTGCTTGTAACTGGCTTGAAGCTTGCGCCCTTCAATTTTTAGAAATGTACGGAAAGCAGGGTTTAAAGCTTTGTTCAGCATTGGTAATTGATTTTCCTAACTCTGTGGCTGACAAAGAACTCCCAGCAGCGACCGCTTTGAAGCTTCTTGGTAAGGAATGGATGCAAAATGGTCGTCCGAAACAATTGAAAGAAATGGAACCTTGATTTTGCTTTTTCTAATGTCCCATAGTCACGATTTTATAGCATTAACGATACAATTACAGTATAAACTTGTAAGCATTAACATTTAATTTTATACACTATTTTTGGAAATTATACTCATGAAACTAAATTAAATTGAACGGAAAATAATGAACTGAACCAAAACTGAAAAACAACACACCAAATAAAAGACTACCTAGCCAGTTATACATCTAAATGAATAATCACTCCAGAGAGTCATCCTCTGATGCCCCTTCGTCACTATCAGAGCCTGGTTCTTCTGTGTAACTCACTTTATTAGTCGATCTGGTACTCTTTCTAGAAGGAGCCACCTCAACCTTATCTTTTTTCAATTTCTTTGGCTTTGGTTCTCTAGGCTTGGTCTTGAAAGTAGTAGTTTTACTCACTGGTTTATCTACTTTAGCCTTTTTAACTTTTGAAGGTTCATTCGAACTTGTCAGCTTCCTTTTAGAGCTTTGGTTCAACTTCTTCTTGATAATAAATCGCAACTCAGCTTGGGTTCCATCATCAAGATAAACAGTAGAAATGATTTTTTGGGCTTCTTCATAACTTTCCATTGGCGAGTACAAATCAGCATACAATTTTATTTTACCTGGCCAAGTTTGCATGCTCCAACGCTTCGATTCATTTAGAACTTGTATAGACAACTGACATAATTCAGCAATACGATATGTATTCAAAACAGCTTCAGAGAAAGTATCTTCCTTGTATAAGGACTGATCAATTGTAGCATCTCTATATTGCTTGACCCTACTTGCAAAATAATATAATAAAGAAATATTATCTTGTTTTGCAATGGTATTCAAATAAAACATGATCAATTCTAAAGCGTATGTATAAGCCTTGACTTGACGCTTGTTATAACTTTCAGTCTCATCACTCATAAACTTCTTAAATGTATCATTGTGAGCAATGCAATGAATCAATCTGGTTAAGACTCTCTCAAATTTAATATCCTTCTGTTCGATACATCTTTTGTGACTAGACAATATCCAAGTTGTGACTTGGTTCTTCAAAGAAGACTTAGGTTCAAGAGCCATCAAAAATATCAAATGTAAAAAGTTTTCACTAAGTTGACCATTCCATAAGTTTGTTTCTAATTTTTTTGAAAACTCAACACGGATATTTTCATTTTCATCGTGAAGTAATCCAGATAACCTATTGATGACATCTTGTGTAATATACAGTTGAAGGTTTGGATATTTGGCCAACTTAAGTATATAGTAACCCGCATATAGCCTAAGCTTCTGTTTGATGGACTCAGGTGTCTTCTTGGTGTCTGGCGTTTGTTTTATTAATTCTCCACTGCTTGCAATTATAACAGTCAACAATTTCAAAGGTTTAGCTATGACATCTCTCAATGACCCTTCACTGGTATATGATTGAGAATGTTCAGAGCTGCTAGCAAGTGCTCTGATTCTATTAACGAAAATCCTAATCGTTAGCAATTTTTCATTCACCACAGAATATTTTTGATAATCTTGGTCTAGATTGATATCATCAATCCACACATCATCAGCGAAATCGGCTTCTTGGTCTTTATCCAATCTGTTACTTCTCAATATACTACCAATTAGTAAAGTATTTATATCGTCAGTAAAAGTTTCCACTGCGAAGGAATCAACCAAGTATATTTCTGCAATACTTGATAAATGGGTGCACAAATTTCTATTATCTAGATCTAACGGAAATATTGAATTTGCAATTTCAGAAGCATAAAATTCTTTTCTTTGACTCAAACCTAAAATTTTAATCGAATATTTAGCTTCTCTGGGGGTACCAGTTGTGGCAATTGATTTCAAAGTTTCGACGAAATCAGTTTCTTTCGGAAAGCAGTCTGGAAATTTCTTGATGAAATGATATATAGTACGAAGATTATTAGCCCTAGGGTTGAATCCCGAATCATTTTGCTGTTCACCTGTAATTATGAGATCGGTTAAGCTTTTGATATGAAATTTGAAAACATCTGGAACAATCGAAGATATATTCTCGAGGAGCTCGTTTGATACTGATGACCATTGATGCTTGTAATCTTTGGAATAGTTGATCAATTCTGCAACATTAGCCTTGTTATAGATAATTGTTGATGCTCTGTATAATAAAATTTTAAAATTAGAAACCATATCAGCAGTAGTTACACTGATTCTAATGTCCTCTGACTTTATATTTTTAGGATCATTGAGCTTAGTAAGTAACTCTTTAATCGAATTCTTAATCGTTTTGTAATCAGATTCAGGTGAAATACAGAACTTAACCAAGTTAAAAAAACGATAGTTTTTCAAATTGACAAATCTATCAAGACAAGAATGAGTGTTTAAACCAACAGGATAACTAACGGAAATCCATTTCATGATTTTTTCAAGCTTATTGATAATAGTAGTTTTCCTAGCTTCCACCGATGGAGCATCATCATCATCATCTGATGACTTTCTAGTTTGCTTGATATTTTCCTTATTTGTGATGCTATCATTTGTAGATGTAAGTTTAGCATATTCTTCTCCTAAAGAAATGAGATGCTGTAAAGCATCTGCTTGCTTTTGTTGCCTTTTGCAAATAGCCGTGAATGAGGCTTTACTCTTGTCACTAAGGCTACTATAAAAATGAGCCAATCTATCGACTCTTTTGATAGTATTTACTTCAAAAGGTAAAAGCTTTTCGGAAAGAATGATGTCAACAAACATGGTAATGTCTTTATCGTTGATATAATTCAATGCAAGAATGTGATTCGGGATACCTTCAGAAATCATACTTTCTAACTCAGAAATTTCTTCTTCCTTATGGTCCCCAAAGTTAATAACAACATTATTGGATACGGAGTTATAATATCTGTCGTAAATATCACTTAAAATTCTGATTGCTCTTTTCCTTATATCTGCATTTTTTTCACGTATCAAGTTGAAAAAAGTATTCATAATAACTTTACTGCAAATGACACTAGTAAACACTTCAAAGTTCAATCTTTCAACGCTCCTACAAGCGATGAATCTAACTTTGTCATTAGCATCAACTAGGCATTTTGTTAAACCATTCCTTAATTCAAGGGTTATTGCTGAAGATGATGATTTTGCTCCATTAATAATATCCGGCAATTGTTCAACCCATTTCGCTCTTACCAACGGAGAAACATCCATTGTCTTACTTAACCAGTTGATCCAAGTAGACTTATGAGCAATAGTGAAGCCAGCAGTATTGTCAACATCAGAGGAAGAGCCAATCATACTTCCTATAGTAGTAGTGGCCAAGACTCGGATCTTTTCATTATCGGTATTCAACTCATCATTTATCAAGCCCATAACGGAACCAAGAAGTTCGGGAACAGACCGCCAAATTTGAATACATAATGAATGGATCTTTTCTAAAGTTTTAAAGGCTTTTTCATTAATAACAGACGCGTCTGCTTGGTTTGAGTCAGGATTAATAGTTTCATTTAACATTTCAGAAAAATACTGGGTAACCTGACGTGACATCTTGTGAACATTTGCTTCACATATGTGCAATGAGAAATTGAATCCAGGACTCGATATATTTGAATTTGAACTAGCTGTGATTGAATATGAATTACCGGAATTTGTCAAGAAAGTGCTCAAGATCAATTTTAAAACATCCATGGGGATACTCTCAGATTCTCCAATTACTTCGGCAAGTATATCTGAAACAAGCGGTTCTAATCTTGAAGGGAAACCTTTCGAAGAAAGCTCATAGAACATATGGAATAACAGTCTGATTAGCGCTTCTGACTCTGGTAAATCAGTGATAAGAATAATCGACTTCACTTCAGCCAATCTCTTCAATAAGTAGTTTTGTTGAAGGAAATACGGATTCTCTTTCTCCCCCAAAAGCTTCAATTGCAGAAAGAATACTTCAAAGATACTGGTCAACTGACCCGCCGTGTAAGGTGCATCGGGAGCGAATATCCTCAAAATATCAGATATACAACAACACACGTAAGCCTGTATACCGATGTTTGAGTTTTTCAATAGCTTCTTATTAACCAAATCAGCAGAAACCTTCTTATACGACTCGATATCGACATTATCTTGATTGACAGCGGAAAGTTCATCACTCAAGGTCTGAAGCCTGTTTAGCAACTCTTTAGTTGAAATCCCCTTCTGAACCGTGGGAACTATGGCCTTCTTGAAAGAGAGCCTGGATACTTGTTCCGCCATTATCCACTTTCAAACAAAGTACTGGAGCTGTCGATAGTTAATCTAAAGTGATGTATAAGTTCTAGTAAATCAGTACGCGTTCTCTGTGTTTTCTGTTTTTTTATGTATTTTTTTTTTGATTGGTTTTTTCACGTATCCGCGTTGATACTCGAATCTACTACTCCAGCTTCTTAGATAAGACGATTTGATTCTAGTATAATGACCAACGGCTACGAAGTGCTTGATGTTTTCAGGATAAAAGACCTCCTCAACCAGAGGCTCAGCTTTAAGGTGCCGCTCAACTATTTCGACAACGGTGATTCCAGCGAGATCACAGTTGTAGCTAATCTTACTCAGACTTATAAGAAAGAACTCCATTCTGACAGTCAAAAATTGGCCCAGGAAGCTATTTTGCCAAAGGAGTCTCGGGTTATTTGCTATGTTCAAGGTGGGCCGGGTTTTCCGTGTACAGCTCCGTTGTCCAAGTCTAGTTACACCCAAGTACTTCTTGAGAAGGGCTTCCAAATTCTTTACTTGGACCAAAGAGGTACCGGGTATAGTACTCCGTTAGACGGCGAAACATTCGAAACATTGGTACCTGCAGAAGAGGAAGAGACCGAAGAAGAGCACACTAACAGACAATTGAAGTACATTCTCAACTTCAGGGCAGATTCGATTGTGGAAGACTTGGAATCGATCAGAAAAATCTTGTTGGGGAAAGATGGGAAAGTTTCGCTATTGGGCCAATCTTTTGGTGGATTCTGTTCCTTTACTTATATGTCGAAACATCCAGAATCATTGCGTGAGGTTGCGGTGACAGGAGGAGTGCCACCAATCAATAGAATTGCAGATGATGTTTATACTGCTACTTACGAACGCACCAAGGAACGTAACGTCCATTATTATGATAAATATCCGCAAGATATTGCAAAAGTGAAGAACATATTGAAGTATTTATATAGCCATAAAGTTGTTCTACCGGATGGAGGTAATTTATCTGTTGAGCGTTTCCAACAATTAGGTATTATGTTTGGTTTTCAAGGCGGTACTGATGATTTACATCAAGTGGTACTTAAATTTGATTTTGATGTGACCCTTCTAGGAAAACCGACTTATACTACTTTATCTACTATTCAAGCAAGCTATTCGTTTGATACGAATATTCTTTATGCATTGTTCCAGGAAGCAATCTATTGCGATGGTAATAACAAGACTTCTGCCCAAGCTAGTACCAATTGGAGTGCTGATAGGCTTAGATACTCTTCTTCAAATACACAATTTGTTTACTCTGAAGAATTGGTCAACTCGGAAAAACCGATCTATTTAACTGGTGAAATGGTTTACAAATCAATGTTTGATGATTATTCTGTGTTGAGAAAATTTAAAAAGCTAGCCTTTGCTTTACATTCTTATAAAGATTGGTCCTCGTTATATGACGTACCAGTTTTATCAAGTCTTTCTTGGGAAAAACTACCAATTGTTTCTGCTACATATGTGTACGACCAATATGTTGATTTTAATGTCACCATGAAAGTTAAAGAAGAGGTTTTCAAAGGAAATGGCAACTTGAAGCAATATATAACCAGTGAATTTTTCCACAATGGTATAAGAGCTGATTCTGAAAAAGTTTTGGGTTCATTACTTTCTTTAATAGAAAATGGTGATATAGATTAGGTATATTAAAATACATAAGAATATATATACAGCGTCAAGACGTTTAAAAATAATTATTAGGAACAAAGCCAACTCTAGGCGATTCCTCGGAAGGAATATAACCAATCATCCAGTTTTTATTATCACGACTGTATAAGGTATCCACCAATTGGAAATCAAATAAGATTTCAATCTTTTCCCCTTTTTTAAAAGACATATCTCCCGGCTCATCGCCTTTGAAATCGTATTTGGCTTCGAGAACCTCTCGTTGGACTGATGCAGAATTGGAAATAGTGATGAGTTTGTCGAAAAATGAGTTAACATGATTCAATCTATAAGTAATGGAAGAAGTCTTTTCGAAAAGATCACTATGATTTGGAGTTATATGATCATAAACTGGATTTGTGCTAGTAATTGGTGCTTCTTTTATTTCATTTTTAGCAGAATTATAAACTTTAATAATGGATTTATTAACCAAATCAGGAGATGAATTTTCGAGTAAAACCGTACTGTTCAAAGTCGAAGGATTGGACGAGTCATCAGAGAGGATAGATGAATCCAGATCGTCAGATCGAATCGACTCGAACGAATCAGAAGAATCTTTTCTGGAGAGAGAGAGTTTTGGAGTTGGTGGTAAAGAACTCCCCAGTTTTCTTGGAGGCAATGGAGGAAGTGGGTCATTAGCTTGTCTACCAGGAATAGCAGGTAAAGCTTTAGCAGTATCAGCAGTGTTTGATCTGGGAGGTAATGGTGGTGCTTTTGGAGAAATTGGAGCTGGTACAACTACCTCATCAATCAGTAAAACTCTAGAGGGATGGTAGGTTTCAGATCGATTGTAATTAGGGTTTTCATACTTTAAGAAGCTATCCAAAGGATCAGCAGTAAGGTAATCGGCGAATACACCATTTGCTTCGTCTTTTGGTTTTAATTTATGAGATCTATCATTCCACTTGGAATTCATTTTAGATAAGAATTTTTCTGATGCCAGAGTTTTCTTCTCGTCATTAATTTCTTCATCGATTAAGTCAGGGTTTTTGTTATTAACAATGGTAATGAAGGACTCTAATTGGAGTTTGGTAGGGGTCATTACCGTTTCCCATTGGTTAACAATTGCGTCATACGTCAGGATCAAATCATCTTTATGATCCTGATATTTCAAATTCGTAAACCCATGAAATATAGAGAAATATCTCAAAGTTGAATCAATCTCTTTGAAGATGTCCAATTGTTTTAGGACAATCATCTGAGTAAGGTTTTCAATGAACTCCTCCAAGAATGAAAATGCATGGGGTAAAATAGATTTCAACTTATCGTCTAAGGTGGTAAATTCTTTGGAAGCAACCTTCAACTCAGAGTCTAAGTTACTCATTTCCTTCTGTTCTTTTTCATCTAATGGAGATGATTTTTTCATTAGCTTATTAATTCGTTTATGGATTTTATCATAATGAGACTTCTTTTCATTTCTCTTTTTAATTAGTTTCAACATGTCCCGTAAGTGCTTATTCATTTGTTCTATTCTCAAGCCAATTGACTTAGCATGCCAGGTTGCTTCATTAAGAATCTTCATCTCCAAGAATTTCAAAGACTGAAGATAGTTTGTTAATTCATGATGAACACTGGATATTGTCACTTGACGTTCCTTTGGATGGACAATGGGGACTTCGGTTTCTGTTTGCAAAAGATCAAACTCATGATAGTACTCTTCAATTCCCTCGAATTGAAGTGAATCTTCCCCAATCACTTCTAGAAATTGGCTAGTAATAGTTATATTAGCCTTGAAAACCCGGGGCCAATGATGTTTGGCAACCTGCTCCGATTGCTTACGAAGATACTTCAATGCCTTCGAGGTGCGTTTTATATCCTGACGATAATGCTCAATCAAATCTTCATCGTTTTTATGGATTCGTTGCTCAAGGCCCTTCTTGACTGATGCTCCACCAGATTTCAAAGTTGATCCGGTATGTTTCAAAGTGGATCCAGTAGTTTTCAATGCAGAATCCGCATGGTGCTTGACCGAAGAGCCAAACCCACTCAAGTTGGACTTCATATGTTCCACCGACATTCTTTGACCTCTGAACTGGGGAAGGATATCTAGTTGTTCAATTCAATCCTCTAATAATACATTAAGCCGCGTCACATCCTTTGGAAACTGCGGATATTCTTTTTTTTTTTTTTTTTCAACTTCTCGCGTAAAACGGAAACAACTGTTTGAATTAACAAAAAACATATATTGGCCTCGAGTATAAACTGCTATAGAAAAGAAGGATTTTTTTGTTTTTTAGTATTTTAAAAGACATAAGTAGGATAATATAAAGAAAAAGATGAGGAAAGGTCAACTTTCAATCATCAAAATTGGAAAAAAAAAGACAGAGATCGAAAGAAAGTCAAGAAGGTTGAATATTGAAAAAAAGGCAGTAGAGGCAGGTGAGAGATCAGGTCAGCGACTTAAGCTTCTGCGTTGGCGTCTCTTTTGGTGTTTGGTTCGAATAAGTAGTAACCCAAGTATCTTGCTTCAGCATCGGCTTCTCTTTTAGCAAAGTCCTCAGAGTTGGCATCTCTCTTGGTGTTTGGCTCGAATAAGTAGTAACCTAAGTATCTTGCTTCAGCATCGGCTTCTCTCTTGACGACATCTTCAGAGTTGGCGTCTCTCTTGGTGTTTGGCTCAAACAAGTA